GTTTGGCATGTTGGAGATGGAGAGCATCCAAAGAGCTAAAATTTGAAGCAGATAAGGCTTTCTTTCTTCTGGGCACATAACTGGCTAATGTGTATATGTCAGCATCATTAGCAAGCTAACATTAGCCTTTCTGTTTTGTACCTTTGTACTGAATGATTCTGGATGTAATTTGCAGCCATTCCAACTGACTGCAACACTATGGTTTTGTTGTCCAATTAGTAGAAAGCAGCACATTTTCCTGGATTAGCAAATCAAGTAATTTTGCTCAGTTTACAAATTTTTGCCCGATGTGGGTCCACTTTATGTCAGACATAACACTGCAGTCCATGTAACATTTTAGTGAGAAGTTGTTCAAATTTACACCATCAACACAACTAGAAAAGTGGGGAGTTTGTTCGACTATCAAAGCGTAACATGAAATTTCTCATTTAACATACAACTCACAGTTACCTTATAACATTATGTGTGTCAAATATGTAACACTGAATGCAATGCAATAGTGGCCAGAATATTAGTACTGTATCAATATTACTAGGAAACAACATTACGCTGTATAGTTTGCTTGTGTTACTGCAGATACATCCGCTACAAATAACGTCAGACGTACGTATTCATATTGCTAAAATGCAAACCTCTTTATTTGACCTTGTGTTGCTGCCATGCCAGGGAAAACCACTGGCACTATGGGCTCTATGTTTCATAAACATTAGTTCTGGAGCTGGTTATTACTGCTGTGCTACATGACTACCACAACTGTCTCCGGCTTTCATATGAAGTATTTCATATGAAAGCCACATATGAAGTATTTTCAGAGTCAGGGCAGGAGGGGCAAAGAGGAGTGGAGGGAGATTTTGACTCTCATTTCATCCTTAATGGGCATAATTTAGAGGAGGAAGTTAGGTAATGCAGCTTTACATATTTGTTGTTACACATAAAAAGACCAAAGTCTTCCAAGCACTGAGTATCTTTTTGGGAATTGGGTCATTTTGGAAAAAATGCATATTATGAGACTCATTACAGTACAACGATTATGTGAGGCTTCCCTGCCCCAAGACATTTAAAGAATCCTACTTCCTTGCCTCTCCTCCCCTCGTACACATTCTCACTAAGCAGGGTGTGTGTGTTTTGTGGATCTGCACGGCCTCAGGCTTGCCTGTGTGTGTGAGATGCAGCTGCATATATGTGTGCTTTATAATCCCCATGGGAGCCTGATGTCCAAATTTATGCATGCTTAAAACAAAAATATGCACACAGTTACATGCACGCACACATAGGCCAGTTATGAGGTCAGTAGCGATCTTCAAATCTCATGCCACATATTTACATTCTTGTATTAAGGAAACTGTGTACAAGGCTGTTGTAGATGGTGATCTGGCAAGGTGTAGTTGTGTTTTTTGGTCTTTTTTTTATTTGTTTGACAATAAGGGAGTGTAGACACAGGGAACAAAAACTATAGGTGAGAGAACGGTCTTGTTAATAAATAAATAAATAAATAAACCTGTCTTGGTCATTTATACAATAAGTTAAAGGGGTCTGTATGTACATACTGTATGTGGAGAGAGACTGTGTGTGCATGGTAAGCTTGCAAGTTTAGTATGTATGCATGTGTGTGTTGTCCTCAGGGTCTAGAGTTAAGGAGGTGAAGGAACCCAGAGCTTCTCCTCTGACAACAGAAACAGAGCTGCTATGACACTCTCAACGCTGACGCAAAATGACAGTGGGTGCAGAGCTTGTCTTCAGAATGTAAAGGTGACAACCATGCTTTACACCTTGTGCAAAATCAAAACAATGAAAACTGCATGGGAAAATAATTTTGAAAGGTCATGGTGAACTTTTCATGGGTTCTTCAAAGTATTTTCTTCTTTTGTTTGTCTTTAGTTTAATAATGAGGTGAAATGGGATGCTAATCAGGTTAAAATGCTGATATAAAATAACAATTTGCATACTCTTAATACAGGTCATGCAGTTACTGAGAAAAATATTGTTGCTCCAGGGATTTTCTGTACCAATATTTTTAAATATGCAAATGTATTATAGATCTTCTACCAGTGACATCAATTATTATGAAATATTTCTTGAAGATTTCAGGTATTCTCTTAAGGTGTCAGTATGCCTCAAAGGAAGTGGCTTTAACATTGTTGAACAACATCTGAAACTCCCTTCCCCACACCTTGCTGCCTTGGGAATAGGGTGTGTCAAACTTTCCGAAACCAACAAGTACGCTCACTTCCCAAGGTGACAAACAAAGTGGGATTTGAACTTTGAAACTCTCAGTAAGCACATTGCTAAATTGTCTACTGTTTAATTTTGTTTATCTTTTGTAATGTCATCCATTTGTAAGAGCAGGTGATTTAAATCTGAAAACTCACTCAGCAGATCTCCAGTTTGGCAGCAAAATTGTGACTACACAGTTTATTACATCAAAACAACAAGAATAAAAGAACTTCAGTGCCCTCAAAGAAGAGTAGTGATCATAAAAGAGGAGAGAAAGCTTGGGACTGGCAGCTGCATAAATAAGTTGTCATATATCCATATAAAGACATGTAGTAGGAGTATTGATCATTGTTGTCATATCATAGTAATAATGCGTTGCCGTGGCAGGAATAAACTTGCAGTGAGTAGGCGGCAGTCAGGGAGAAACTTAAAGTTTCCAGTGATAGTGTGTGCCTGTGTCTCTGTCATGTGCACGTTTCTGTGCCCTTGTTGGGACAGGGGGATGTTTTCGGGGTGGTAGGGAGATATCAGCTCTTGTACATTCAAGGTGAGAGGTCAGGAGGTGCTGTGCTGCCATGGTCTTCACAGGCCTGGGGAGGGTCGGGTTCAGGGGTCATCTGTAGGCGTGTGTTGGACAGCACAGTTGAAGTTGAAAGGTTGGGCAGTTTCTTTTAGAGAAGGATGCACTTTCCTTTTTCCACCCACGGGTTGTTCTTCATCAGCTCTGGATTCAGGAAAGGATCCTCTGGGACACCATCCTCTATCCACTTTACCAAACTTTGCATGGAGACAGAAAGACACAGAGACATTTTTTTCACTCATTCACTACTCCCTATTAAATTTACACCAAGTTGTTCACTCAGTAGTGAGCAGTAAATTGAGATTTTGGACACTTACTAATCATCAACATTTGGGTCATCATTAGCAGCTGTTAATGATGACACAAAACTGAACAGAACAACTCAACAGTAATTTTCCTTCTGATAAGACAGAGTGTTGCATTGTGGGATTGTTAGCAGAAAGCAGTGTGCATGCAGATTTACACACATTTGGACACCAATACAAAATGGCAAACACATACAATGAGTAGAGAGTGATTTCAGACACAGCCAGTATCTCAGGCACTGGAAGTAACTAAATATATTCATTATTGCAATGCATTTTGTTTCTTTTTGCATAAAGTTTAGCTTAAACTAAGTCCTTGTGCACTTTATTGCAGTTGAAATCACATCCATTAAAGGGAACAAATGTTGTTGGCTCTCCTCAGCTTTATTGTACCATTTGCTTTTAAGGTTTGTTCAATATTTTGAGAAATACGCTAACTTGCTCTTTCGATTGAGAAGATCAGAATTTCTCAAAATATTAAACTATTCCTTAAAATGAGATTATACAATAAAAAAATTGTCATCAAAAGGTTTCCTCAAATAAAAAACAACTGAATTTACAAGCAATAAAATGCACTATTGCTCTCTTCAGTACACAGAGATTTTTACGTTATGGCCAGTAGATTATGGTTGTTGTTGTTAGCTAATGTTAGCTAACACAAGATCGCTTTTGTTTTTGTAAGTGATGCTAAATTAGTTAGTTGGTTGTATTGCTCTTCTTTGCTTGTGTTATGTTTACATTAGGTTTTAATGTGACATGGATTAACATTTCAGTAAATATCACATCTGGTTATTAATAAAACAAATGACATTATATTGCATAGCATGGCTGTAGCACCAGTAAAGAAAAATTACAAATTCAGCAAACTGACTCTAATTGCTAATATCACCTAACATTAGCCATCATAAGCTACAGGCCTGCAGCAGCAAAGCTTCTGGGTGTGCTGAAATTGCCTGAATTTAATTATTCATCTAGAAGAATATGTTATTTCCTTTATCAAAAGTTACATAGTTTCACTTTAAATAGAGTTAAATATCCATACAGTAACAGTCTTTCTACCTTAATAAGACAATGCTTCACTGTTTCTCCTATTATTACAATAGTTTTTATATCCACAAGAATTTTAAGAAGGGTTTCAAAACACTGTCCCTGAATATGTTTGTACTTTACATGAAAAGCATCATTAGTCAAAATTTAGCCTTCTCTAGCAGCAGTGATAAAATGTTTCGTGAGTCTCCTTGATTGGCCCTTAGCCCACTGACACTGCAGTGAGAACTTGAGACAAAGACCGTGCTATTCAGACCTTAATAATGGCTGCAGCCTTGCTTAATGCTTATGGCTATGACAATAGCCTTAAAGAAACCATAAGTTAATTAAGTTATCATTGTGCCAGAATAACTAATGTTGTCATATATACTGTATTTATTTAATCAGCATATGTATTGCTCCTGCATTTTGCAAGTAGCATGTAAGTATATATGACTGCATAAAGTACACAATACTTGTTACCTTGGGAACAGTAGTTGGTTCAACAATTTCAGCTTGAGGTCGAGTTAGTCACTTCTTCTAGAGCTTTTGATTGCATCACACAGCATCCTTCAGCATAGGGGCCTTCCTCAGCAGACATGAAACTGTAGATGTTAAAATTCCATTTCCTCTTGTAAGGTCAAGAATAAATGATTGAGCCAGGAAATGTCCTAAAGTGCTCAAGAAAATGGAAATTTTCTAAATCTACAGTTCTGCGCCTACAGAGCAAAGCACCACAACCAGTAAGTAAGCGAACCTTGAGCTGAGATTGTTTTGTCAGCTACTGATAATAATCAAATTTTTTTCTGGTGTGCATTGGCAAAAAACTATTTTACTTGTGAACTCAGAGTAACTTCCAAGTGCGCTGTGCACAGCTGCTTTCTGGGGCTTATACTGTGCAGGTATTTGTCAAGTTACTGTGGACTAGCTACTCACTCAGTCACAGTTTTGGAGGATTTCTCTCGTTTGAAGGCCAGCTGGTATTTGAGGCTCTCCACCTCCTTCTTCATCTGGGGCAGGTCCATTTCATCCATGGCTGCAGCTTGATGTAGGGCTTTTTTACCTGTACACAGCAAGAGGAGGCTAGAGTTACACTCTCAATACAACTGTGCCTTGCAGCAAGAACATCACAAAGTACATCTGAGATATAACCACTGCTTAGTGATTACACTTACAGGAAGGGAGAATAGAGGCTGTTAAATTCATAGAGTACAACCAAGCTCTGCCAAAACTGACAAACCCACTTAACATCACAGCATACATTCAGTTGTGTTCCTTTGTGTCTTGTGGGCTGCTTGTTTCCACGTCATGTTCCACAGCTTAATTGTTTGCAACCAACATAACAGCAGGTCAACAGGACATCCATTTTATGCAAATGTTGGTTCGTTTCTTGCATATTACCTCTTGTAGTTTGATAATTGCATATCAGGATTCATGTTGGTGAGTTAGTGGAGTTACTATTCAATTCCTGAGAGACAGAAAGGAGAAAATGTTTTGCTTCTATACACAAACACGCAAATCATGTACTTGTGACGTGACCCATGTATTCCCATCACCCTTGACCCCCAACCCCACCCACGCACACACACACACACAACACAAAACTTCACTCTGTAAAACCAGCAAGGCAAATAAATACAGTAGCCTAATATTTAGTTTAAAATCACTTCAAATGAACATATAACTGAACACATGGTGGGTGGTGTCGATGAAGGGGTACTCCAGCTCATCTGGCAAGACTGTTAGATAAATAAAGTTAGGAACAAAATGGTCCTCCACACCTTTGTCACTGGGTTTGATGTTTTTCCTTTCTACTGTTGTATTTTACTACATGTCACAACCAGCATCCCATTTCACTGCTCTGAGCTCTGTTTTAGGTAGGCAGGTACTTTATTGATCCCTCAATGGGGAAATTTCAGTGTTTCAGCAGCAATGGAGAACAAACAACATAACACCATGAGAAACAAACACCACACACATATCTTGATAAGAAGGCAGGTCATGACAAACCTCTGAAACAAAAGGAAAGGTTCGGTGAGTATTGGAACAAATTGAAAACCCTGAGCTGCCGTGCGTAGCACATCGGGATAACACGATGAATAAATACTGCACCTGTATGTACATGTCAAGCAAATTGATTTAGAATCTCACCAAGGTACCAGGGCTAGGATTTGTTCAAACAACCTTCATCTTTCTATTTCTAGTGACTCCCAAGTGAGTACATGACAGTGCAGTTTGGACATGTGTCATATAATGCTGAAAAAGAGGCTATTTATATGCTTTCCACATACAAGCATTTGTCACTTGACCGCCTCAGCGAGGTGTGAAGGAGACACTTGGACAAATCTCATTTACAACTGACAGGAAGACAGGGTGGGAGAGGACACAAGCTTCTGCATTTACTCATATGCAAAAGATAATAGTATAGTATTCAACTTGCATAATTACTTTTAAGCTGGTTGGTACATTTTATTATGTCAAGGCTGATACACTTCTCGTTTCGTCAGCACAGGTTGTATATATGACACCAGCACTTCTCGCATCTTCTGAAGATTTTCCATACAAATCTTGTATGAGGTTTCTAAAAATATTTGCAACTGCAAAATCTGAGCTGCTCACCAGACATAATATGATCTGATCTTCCTTTGCACAACATTTTGAGTTTAATGCATCAGTAATATGCACTTTAACAGGTCATATCCATTTCACTGGCGCTGCGAGTTAGGAGGAGGAAACACAATCAGCTAAAGACAAAATCCATCCTATCAAGACAAAATGGTGCATTTTATCATTTTATATGGTATTAGTAGCTGTAATTAGAGCTGAATATTGAGTGCTGAATGGCAAAAGTGTACAGGAGATTAAAATGAATCATATATCATTTATAACCATAAGTATATAGGCTACTGTATTTTATTTGTATAGCTGATGAAAGAATAAATGTCAACATGTTTCTGTGGCAGCAGTATTTAAGTAATCTAGTGACTTGTTACCTTTATATTTTGCTAAATGTAAGATTTCCTACTTAACCAACAATGTTACAGAATTAGGAATTGTGTAAATTAAAATCATGATGTATATTTATATGAGGTTATCAGTGCAGCCCTCTATTACATTCCAACCTTAAGGGAGAGGAAGAAAGACACATGTATCCACGTCAAAGTCACAGCTAGTTACAGCTGCACCCATATGTACTGTGGTATAGACGGGTTTCTGAGCCACATTATCAGCGAGATTTGCGTACATCATGGGTAGAACACACAGCAAAATGGCCGAGACTCTGTGTGGAAAGTAACATGACAAGGATTTGTCGTACAGTAAACTGTCCGAATTGCTCAAAGCATGGCCTTTTCCGGCAACATCCCAAAGGGAAAACATTCTTTTCAACAGAGAATGAAAAAAATTGTGGCTTAAGCAATAAAAAGAGACTGGGATCCTTCTGGCCAGTAGTTGGGAGCTTGTACAGTGCTCATTTAATTTCTGTTGAATGTTTTTACCTAACATTAGATAATTATTCCTGAAAGTCTTATTTAAAAGTTGCCTAAAAGCTCAGTAGAACTAGGGAAAAGAACGATCATTTTTGCATACTAGCACATCAGTGTTTAAGGAGTCTCATGCAGTAACTCTCAGTTAATGATTTTTCCTTCCTCAAAATAGATATTTAAGACATTAGAACAGAGATAATGAATTATCTGACTGAACATTTAAAAGCCTTAGGCACACATTAAAAATGTTTGGCAGTGACTTTACATAACTATTTCTGTTAGAATGGCTTGGTCCCATGTGAAAACTACTACAACCTAATAAAAAAGTGATTGAAAATGAGAGAAGAATGAGACTGGCAGTGAGAAAGACAAAGAGAAAAAATGTATAATGAGTTAATGAGATGTGCGAATGTGTACTTTGGTGAGTCTGAGGAAAACACCAGGTGCAATATTACATGACAATGTCTGTGTGTCTTCCAATATTAGACAGACAAAGAGAGACAGTGCAACGAGCAGTTCCTAGATGAGATTGGGTTTCATCAGCATCCTCTGGAGTGGGGAGGAGGATTGGATGCTTTTCTCTTTCTACAGTAACTCTGTCACTCACCATCTCTTTCATCCCTGTTTTTACTCTTTGTCTCCTTTTCACTTTCACTTCTGTTTGTCTGCTCTAACCATCTGTTTACCAGCCTTTACCTCTTAGCCCTTAGCCTTTTCTCACTTCTGTGCCAGTGTCTGTCTGCTTTTTTCCTCTGTTAATACATTACCACATCACATCACTGCCCCTTTTTCACAGTTTCTCTGCCACTGTCTTTCTGAAAGAGGGATGCACCACGTTTTGGGATAGACTGGCTTTAAGGTGATGGGACACTGTGTACAGCTAAGAAAAATCACCACTTGCCAGAAAATACTCCAGAAACTGTCAGAATCAGCTATATTGATTAGATATTATGTTACAGCTTTAGCTTTAGTCTTTTGGCACAATATCTTTTTAGCCCTTTACAGCCAGTTTCTCAATTTTAAACAAGTCAGCTTCAAACATTAAAGATTCAGCTAGAGGCCACATCATTAACCTAAGCATAGAGCTAACATCAGCTGAATTAGATAGCTACAGTGGATTGAATTCCTTTAGCATCAGTTGTCTAGAAAGGAGAAGCTGCTTTTGTCTATCGCTGTCATAAATCAAGCACCTACTTTATCAAAACTTACTGAGAATTTTAAGTAGTAAATCTGGTAGTACTGTAAACTATGTGTTGTGTGAAACAAATAGCTTGAAAGACAAGACAGTAACTAAATGCATGTGTATCGGGGATGGTCAAAGGTAGACAGACATATTTAATAAGAATTTAAAAACCAGAAACCACTGATTTACACCTCTCTGTTGATATAAAGACCCCAGTCTGTCATGATAATACCCCATTCTGATTGGCTCTCGACAGTTTTAGGTTCTCAAATTAAAACATGTTTACACAAAGAAAGCTACTCCATGACATACTGTAGGTGTGGAAGGGTTCATATTATGGTATCACGGTTTATGAGTTACTTCTGGATCGGTAACAAAAGGAGTTAGCTTTGCTATATTATTTAAAGAACTTAAAGGACACATAAACCATGAAACATTTGCCCATGATCTGAAGTCCCAGGCATCACAGCAGTGTGACAGTAGACTATTATACTCACTGCTTTGTTCACATAAACACACAACAGCTTTGTCTGTGTCTTTTCATTGCAACTCAGCCCCAGGCCCAGAATCCATCCCCTGGCTATGCCTTTGTTCATACAGTCTGTGTTCATAAAGCACAGGACTTGTTTTGCCACCAAAACGACAAGGTGATCACCTGTAGCAAACTCTAAATGATCTGACCTTATTACTGTAACTGACATATAATAATATACTACTATAATTGCAATATTAGGCCATAAAAGCACATATGGATGTAATGTCTGAGTACATTAATTAAAATTTATGTCCTTTTTTCACCTCTTACTCATCTATCAATCATATTCTCCCCATTCTCTTTTCTCTCCATCATTTACATTTTCCTTTGGACCATTTCTCTTCTCAAATTACTCTGTCATTTGCTCAAAATTGAACCATGCACATACAGTATGTCCCTCTGTTTACCTTCTGTATCTCTGCTGAAAACCAGAGACAACTTTAAACCCTATAAACCATGCAATGTAAACTTTTTATTTATAAAAAAATAAAATAAAATAAAAACATTGCATCAACATGTGGCCTACTGTTGTCTTATACTGAGGTTTAAATGAAAAAAGATGAGCTGAGGCAGGCAGTGTTCTCACTTTCCTCCCTCCATAGCTCTGATATCTGTTTTCTGTTTGTCTCCTGCTGTCTTCCACCAATGCTGGCTCACTAAGGCTGTGTTCAGTCTGAGTTTCAAAGGTGTAAAAAAAAAACGCAGCCCTCTCCATTCATTTCTATGGGGAATTGTGTTCACTGCAGTCAGCAGCAGCACTGCAGGGGCCTCCGGCAAAATGACGCAACCCTGTGCGGTGAAAAAGCTGGTTCTGGTTTAACTTTCACTGCATCAGACATGACATCATCCTACAAAGACACTGCATTGACCAATCGTGCAAGAGGAGATTGGGGATGTGTACGTACACCCACGGGAAGAAGACTCTTTTGTTTACCTTGTTAGCATGAGCATTCACTGCTATTCATTGTCAAATTTGGGCCACAGTTAATGCGCTATAAGGACACACCATGCATTTTCGTTAGTACTGGATGTTAAACTGTGTTTTTATCTATCAATGCCAACACACTGGTCTTAGAAATGGTGCTGAGGTAGAGTAGGCTACTCTAGCAGCAGGCTAACCAAAATAGAAAGGAAAATCCCGGGCAGGAAATGTGAATGAAGCCACTCCCGTTGACTTGCCACAACGTGGTCGTATTGTGAACGCCTACAACACTTCCCCTGCTACCCCTCACCCCCCAACCAAAGCAGCCCCTTGTGTTAAACACAGGGAGGGAGTTGCATTTTTACCAGATCATTCTGAACGTCCACTGAGTGCTCCTTGTGTATTTTCACATACAATATTTCAAAGTTTACCTTTTACTCCACATATTAGCAACCTCACTCCAGCAGCCATATTTATAGGTGCTAGTGAAGTACATTAAAACACCACTATATTGCAGATACATGTACTGTGATCCCTTGGTAAAATTACTATAAACCAATCTCATAAACCTCTGCCTATTGACATAAGGAAAGCCTCTGTTTCATCAAAGTCATTTCACTCAACACTAGAAGGAACAGTCAGAGGATCACCAGTGTAGTACTGCCTGGTCACCATGAATGTCTGTGCAAAGTCTTAAGTGGTAGACTGACTAAACAGCAGAGCAATTGCTGACACTGCCAGCTGCTTGATAGTTTTTATGTTCTTCATCTGGTGTGTTGAATCATTGTGTAGTGTGTGATGTGTTCTCTGCTGCTTAATCACTATGGAATATAAGTTCCTGTGAACTTCTATATGTTGTGCATAGTATCTGTTTATACTAGAACACAACACCCTGTGCTTTCAACCAGATTCCCATTAAATCTGACTTGCCATAACATTAATAAACAGAAGAAAGTGCGGTGCAGTCGTCATGACATTGGTTTCATGTTTGCCATATAACAAAGACTGATGCAAACTCGATACATTAAAAATATGAGGTGTAATCCAACCAGCCTTTGGGTGTCAGACTAATAAATATTGGCAGAGTTCAGGGCATTTGGGGTATATATGGCTACTGTAGTGGATATAGAGCTGTAAATCGAAACTGGGACGCTTTCCATAAAGGGAGATCAGGCTTGCATTATTTAACTGCTGTTCTGTAAAAGATGATAAAAAAAGTTATTTACATTTTCTTTATTAACATTATTTCTGGACAACTTATCAAACTTTTCCTTTACTTGAATGTAATCTAGTCCGATAGCTTAATAACTCACTGGGCGATGGACATTTGGTGTTCAGTCAAAGTGTAGCTCAGCATCCAAAAGGCTTTGTGGTTGTGTGTGTGTGTGTGTGTGTGATGCTTTTTAAAGATATGTTTGGGTGGGTGTGTGAAGGGAAAAGTGAGGTGGGTGTTTAGGGGAGGGTATGTAGGTCGTGATATGGTGATTTAGGTCAAAAGCATCTAGAGATTAACCTCTACCCCCTGTCTCTTACGCTGCCTTCTCAGGCTCTAACAGTAATGTATTGTATGTGTGTGTGTGTGTGTGTGTGTGTGTGTGTGTGTGTGTGTGTGTGTGTGTGTGTGTGAGTGAAACAGGCTGCAGTGTGTACTGAGCTGCCACCAGTGTAATGTGTCAAATCACTCTTTCTGACTTCTTTTATGATGGTTGAAGGTTTTGCTAGGAAACCATGGGTGAAAGAGACATGAAAACGTCAAAGTGAGAGAAAGGTGTAAAGACAAAAAGGAAGAAAATAAGAGAAAGAGCAACAGCGAACCAGTGAGACTCTTCTTGCTTCTACTGCATTGTAAATACAGACTAAAAATAGAACGGAACAGGCAGAGTTCCTCTGACCATCTGAGAGTGGAGACTAGAATGAAAGAAGAGGCTCCTTGCAGTAGGACATGCTGCTGAGGATAATAAATGCCAGACGCTGACAGACGTCATTTGAGCTTTTGCAACCAACTGATCTGTTCGGCACTTTAATGAGCTCTGAAGCCACTGGGACCAGCCTGGTCAGTGTCATATTAACATTGCCCTGCCTGTGTAGAGAAACATCCAGTCAATCAGATTTGTTCGATATAGGCCTGAACTAGACTGGCTGGAATTCATGTTTGCATGTGAGTCAGAGACACATTAAGGGTCAGCTAAAACTGCCCCCACTGTGCCCTCACTGTAAAGAGCCCAAGCAGAGCTTTCTACCCTAAAGTAGGTGTTTTTGCCCCGCGCTGTGCCTGTGGATGTGTACCTGACCTCCACAGGGGACAAGGACCAGAGGGGTGATCAGGAATTTGATTGACCTAGAATCTGATTGACCACCCTTGCTTCACCCTGCTTCCACAGTCCAATGGTAAAAGTGGTGGGTTGACTTATTAGTATGGATGCATTACTGATCAGGCCTACCAGGTACAAACTCAGAGGAGCAGAACCTGTATGTGAAGTGACAGCTAACATTTCATGTTGAAATCAAATGAGCACAAAGAAACCTTAAATAATTACAAAGACACAACAACCACAACAAGATATAAAACAACAAAAAGGCAAGCCATGAGAAACAAATGAACTACAAAGAGACACAACATGACTACAAAAAGATGCAAAACAACCACAAACACACAAAATGTCTACAGTAAAACACAAAATGACCAGAAAGAAACACAAACCAACCCCACTATAAGACTCCAAACAACCACAGTGGGACACAAAATGACCACAATGACATGCAAAATGACTACAAAGAGGCAAACCACAATGATACACAAACAAACCAGAAAGAGAGGCTAAATGACTACAGAAAGGCCCAAATGACCACAAGGGGTGTAAAACGATGTTTATAGGCAATTTGTGTGTCTTTTGGGCCCTTTTATATGTCTGTGCCCAGGGGCCTGATAATCTGCCCATGGTAAGGCATTTGGAGTGACAAATAACAGGCCTAGCTGTTTATTTATATTATTTTTAGTATTTAGTATTTGAAGCGGTTTATTTGGCATTCGGTTATAAGCACTGTCATTTAATATCTACTATCTAGTACAGTTCATCATTACCAAGAAACTGGAATGTTGATGCAGGAGGTGGAGAAGTGCAGAGGAGAAATTCAACTTTTATGTAATATTCGTGGGATCCATATGGCTCAGTACTGAGGTGTGTGTGTGTGTGTGTGTGTGTGTGTGTTTGAGGGGTCTGGAGGCGGACAGTGCTCTTGCACTTTGTGAATTACTGTAACCGGCTGATGACATACAGTACCTGCATGTATAGTCTAAATGGTTATTTCTGGGGCCATTTCGATGATTTTGAAAGGTACAGAGGCAGGTAATATCTTAATAAAGACCCTCACACTGCGTTGGCACCACAGGCACGGCGACAGTCGCATCACTTACCTCACTGATGCGCCGGTGGAGGCTGTTGCTCTTCCCAAGTCTAACCGGCGCAGTTAAACCGGAGGGAGGGCAGAGAGGACAGCTGGACTGGTTCACGGATAGTTGATTTTTATCTTCCAGCAAATAACAGCAGACTTAATGTCTGTAGATTTGTTTATCTCAGGCAGGCGGTGCGCACTCCAGGCATCCTCTGGTAAAGATCAGGATTAAAATCCGCAGTCTCCGGAGTGAAAACAGACGATGACGACCAGTCTGTGACTGTCTGCAGTGCTGGAGGAGACGCTTGTTTCCCGGCAGCTAGTCCGGCAGGCTGGTCTGCTGTGGCTGCTGAAACTGCCTGAGGATGAGAGACAAAGAGAGAGAAATAAGGAAGTGGGCAAGTTAACGAGCTGGTCCGGTGCACGTTCCGCTGTTCACTGCCCGCTTCTCTGCTGGGATCCTCCTATATGAGCGTCTGTGCGCGCGCGCGTGTGTGAGAGAGAAAGTGTTCTTTAGAGAGTTGTGATAATGGAGAGGGTAGCACGTACCTCAGTACCATAGTCAAGGAAGGAACGACATCCAACTATATACACCGTGTGTGTGTGTGTGTGTGTGTGTGTGTGTGTGTGTGGGAGGGGGCTGCGAACCCCTATTGCCCCTGTTACTGGACTCTGTATTTCTGCCCTAATATGGCCACTTATAGCTCCATCTGCAAAGGACAGATTTTGGTTCCCAGTGAGAGGGGTTGGGTTTGCTTTATTTTACATATGAAACATACTACAATTCAAGTGAAAGACCACAGAAGAAGAGTTGGATCTTGTGTTATACTATACCTGTTGTGTCTTCACTTTCATTACTGGTTCAGTGGTCGTACCTTTTTCAGTTTTAATTCAGTTCAATTCAGTTTTATTTCTATAGCGCCAAATCACAACAAAAGTCATCTCAGGACACTTTACAAAGGTCTAGACCTTACTGTTATCAATATTATTATAGAGGAAGACCCAGCAAATCCCCCTTGAGCAGCACTTGGCGACAGCGGGGAGGAAAAACTGCATTTAACAGAAGAAACCTCCGACAGACCCCGATTCTTGGTGGGCGGCCTTCTGCCTCGACCAGTTGGGGTGAGTGGATAGAGGAGAGAGAGAGAGAGACAAGAATTTAAGCAACAAGACACAACAATCAAACACTAAGTATTCGTACAGGCTCCAGTAGCGCAACCGGTCAGCGCACAGTACTTATAACACAGTAACTTGCAGAGTGATGCTGAGGTTGTGAGTTCGAGCTTCACCAGGAGCAGCATGATTTTATAAGAGGGCGGTGACTGTGGTGCGGTGGGTAGAGCACTTGTCTCCCAAGGTTGGAGGTACGAATCTCGGTGCCAGCAGTCCACGTGTTGAAGTGTGCTTGGGCCAGACACTGAACACCCCGTTACCCCTGACGGTTAGAGCCAGCGGTTGAGTTGGCACTGCAGATGTACCGGAAACAAATTCCGTGTGTGTGTGTGATATACTTGGCCATACGTTGTGTGCTAGTAACCAGCTTCTGACTATCACAAACCCTGAATGATCTTCTCAGGCATTTGGTAGAGCCTAATGTGAACTGTGTATTATTTTTTTATGTGTGTGTTAGAGAGCAGAATGGTGTAAATGAATAGCCTGTAAAAGGAGGCCATGGTGACTTTTTGTAGGAGCTTAATGTAGAATAAGAGTAAATGTTTTTCTTTTTTACTTTTTACTACAATTAAATATTGCCAAGCCAAGTCGCCTCACAGCAAGAAGGTTCCAGGTTTGAGCCCAGGCTTCACCGATGCCTTTCTGTGCAGAGTTTGCATGTTCTCCCTGTGCCTGTGTGGGTTCTCTCCGGGTACTCCGGCTTCCTCCCACAGTCCAAAAACATGCAGCTTAGGTTGACTGGTGACTCTAAATTACCCATAGTAGTGAATGCGGTTGTTTGTCTGTGATAGCCTGTGATAGACGGGTTACCTGTCCAGGGTGTACCACGCCTCTTGCCCAATGTCGGCTGGAATTGGTTCCACCCCCCGCCGCGACCCTTGTCAGGATAAGCTGTGTAGATAATGGATGGATATAGCCTTGAAATGCAAAGTTTTTTGACTTCAAAAATGATTGTTATTCCATTGTATATTTCTTAAACTCATTATAGTCTTTCTTAAATTTTAGATGTATTCAGTGAAAATCATCTTACTAATTAGCTTGTGATAAGAAATTATTAAAGTCAAACTCAAGCAAAAAAGTTGTGAACATTTACCACTTCACTGATTACTGGGAGCAGTGCATCTTTGGGTCTGTCAGCTGGTTTTACATTGAAGTGTATCTGAAGACGTTCAATAGGTAAAACAAACATGCAGAAAGGTGCTTAGCTGTAAGTTTAAGTGTAATTGCTGAATGAAGCTGAAGTGTAAATGATGTGTTGAACACGCTGACAAAACTGAAGCTTCAGTAGAACCTCAATCACTGAAAGGAGTCACTTTAAGCATAGATGCTGAATTGAGCTGGAAGTGACAGTTGCAGTGTGAGTCCTGAAAACTATTAGTGTAAAGTCTATAAACTCAGAGTTCGTGTCATTGAAAGCGCTGGCTTATGTGTAAGCACTGAACGCAGTTAAAGTTTCCATCATGTTTTTAAGCCTACTGTATATATCCACTCCTGACTATCAGCAAACTGTTTTTCAGACAGGAGTCTGGTCCAGACAGTTCTCCTAAGGAGCGTTCTATTCCTGCTATGATGACATCACGCTAAATGACTTTCAGCCTGGTTGCACTTAAACTGACCATCTCAGAATCCAGTCTGTGATGCATCAGCAGATTTGAATGAGTTGGTACCATCTGTCAGCAGATGACTTATAATATGAGACAGGACTCAGTCTGTCTGAATAGGATAATGACTGCATAACATTAAGATTTACATAATGGCATGTTTTAAAGGAACACTTTGACAATTTAGGAAGTAAGTTTGTTAGCGGGCAGCATGTTGATGCAGTGGTTAGCGCTGCTGCCTCACAGCAAGAAGGTTCCAGGTTTGAGCCTGGGCCGATCCAGGTCGTTTCTGTGCGGAGTTTGCATGTTCTCCCTGTGCCTGCGTGGGGTCTCTCCTGTCCAAAGACATGCAGATTAGGTTGATTTGTGACTCAAAATTGCCCATAGGAGTGAATGTGAATGTGAGTGTGTATTGTTGTTTGTCTCTAAGTGTCTGCCCTCCGATAGACTGACAACCTGAACAGGATGTACCCTGCCTTTCATCAAATGTCAGCTGAGATTGGCTCCCGCAAACCTCTTCAGGTTAAGTGTCATAGATACAGTAATGGAAGGAAGTTTCTTAGGTTGATTGGTGACTCAAGACAAGAAGATATATACCTGCATGGAAAATATAGCCCTTTTTCCACCAAAGGAACTTTCCTGCCCCAGGAGCTGCCAGTTCAGTTCTATAGTCTGTTCTCTGTATTTCCATCTCTGTCTGGTTTGGCTCAGCAACCAAACAGGACAGGAAACAGACTCCAGTGGTCAGAAGTGTGGAGAAAATCATCTGTGCCAGCCTTCCCTCCGTGGAGGACCAGTACACCTTACGGGTCAAAAGTAGGGCAGAGGGGATTTCTGCAAACTACTTACATCCTGGACACAAACTCTTTGAACTCCTCCCCTCTGGATGGCACTACAGATCATTGTATGCCAAGACAACCAGACACAGAGACAGTTTCTTCCCCTGGACCATTACATTCTTGAACAGCTAGTCTTTGTTTGTTCTTTTAACTTGTATATATTTTGTATTTATTGCTGTGCACATCGGGGGCCAGTGGGCTGGAGTCAAATTCTTTGTATTTTTGATGATACTTGGCAATAAATGTGTCACATTCAAGAATCTGTCTATGATGGAAAGGATGACCATGTTCCCTTACGACAGGGACAGACCTGTGACAAAGTCCAGCACGATGTGTGACCGTGACCAGCAGGGGACAGGTAAGGCTCATAATAGCTCAAATAGAGATTGGTGGGTTGACTTGGCTCGGGCACAGGTGGGGCAGGCAAGGACAAAGCCACAGGTGTCTGCGTCTAGATTTGGCCACCAGAAGTAACGCTTAACCAATGACAGAGTTCTGTGGACACCAGGGTGACAGGAAAAATAGGAGGTATGGGCCCACTGCAGGACCTGGGATCTAGGAGCTGGATTGGGAACAAACAAGCAGTTCTGGGGGCCTCCACCAGGGTCTGGTTGATGTTTCTGGGCCTCTCTCACCACTTGTTCGATCTCCCAGGTGACTGCTGCCATGACACAGGAGGAGGGAATGATGGGTTCGAGTTGGCCCAACTCCTGGTCTGTCCCAAACTGCCGAGAGAGGGTGTCAGGTTTCACATTACAAGAGCCAGGTCTGTATGTGCGTTTTCTATCTGTGGGCCTAGACTATGGAATGCCCTGCCGGTTGTACTACGGGTGGAAAGCGATCTAGTGGCCTTTAAATCGGCCTTAAAGACCCACATTTGTAAGCAGGCTGTCGAGTCCTAACTTGTCTTTTGTTTTATGTTTTTAGAAGTTGGTTTAGTATTGCTCTGTGTTCTGTGTTTTTGATTGTACAGCACTCTGGTGCTCTTGCGAGCTGTAGAGCGCTATATAAATAAAGTTTATTATTATTTTTATTAGTTTATTCTTTTCTTTCCACTCTCATTAGCAAAGAGCAGTGTACCAAAGATTCATAGCGGCTTCTTTATTGGGCTTTGCAAACGGTCACTTTCACCAGTTAAAATGATAAACACTGCCAGTTCATAAGGTAATAGAAGCATCACTGTGGCACCATTGTACAACAAGTGTTCCTCTAGTCACAACCAATCTAACCCAGTGATACACTGTACTTTTTCTCTCTATCTGATTATGTCACATCAGTTTCAGGAGATATGCTGTCCCAAATGAACTTTCATCCATAGCATATCAATAATTTAAGCCTTTTAACACTGTAGGACTGGGAGAGATGAAAAAAAAATGTAGGTGAAAAAATTAAAAAATATAATTATGAGCCCCCCCCTTTTAACAAATGATAAACTTTACTGGTTCCATTAAGTTGTGTGACCATCTCAGAAAGTGGAGATCCCAGGACGCCAGCTAGATGGAATTAGTCCCTTTCACCTATCAGAGTCATGGTCCATCACTCTTTAAGTCCCTCTGAAAAAAAAATCCATTTCTATTGGACAGCAGATGATTTCCTGTACCTGCCGCTGCTGTGCTGCTGGAGCAAGAGTCCATGCTGGGAGCAGAGGCGGTCAACCACTTACATAGAAAGTGTGAAATGACCGAGAAATTGGTTGTGTCACTGTCCTAGAAAAACCTTGAAGAGTGTTTTTTTTTCTTGACGCTATACCAATTCCCTAAAGCAGAAGGTCATCTAAAAAAACTGTGCTGCTTAGACTCAGGTACTTATCTGGTACTACATTCATGTCAGGTCAGCAGAATGGAAAAAATAGCAATATATCTTATTTGTAAGACTTGGGAGCATTCACACATTAAATATTGTAAGTAATACTCCTTTGATCATCTAAATGATGCTGAGGATAGAGAAAGATAGGATGTAGCCCCTGTCAAAGTGAGGTATGAGGTGAAGATTTATGACCGTGTAATGTCACAATTTGTCACACCGTGGCCCCTAGCCACTTTTTCCGGAGAGTTTATTGTTTTATTGTTTTACAACACACACACCTGCATGTCATAAAGTCTTCTTTCTCACAGGAACAGGACTGTGCAACACCCCCCCACACACACACACACACACTAGATTTGACAAAAGGTTAGCCATTATAGTTTATGATAGGGGAAACCGTGTGACATAGGTGTTTAATCTAACCCCACGTGGGGCTTGTTGTATTTATCTGGGAGACCCAGCTACAGTAAACATGAATGGGGGAAGGCATAGATGGAGCGCAGTGGCACTGCT